GAGAAAACGAGGTTTTCTTCCTTTTAAAAAAAATCATTTTATTGGGGACTTTTACAACTCTTATTACAATTTATACATCAATTGTCCGACGTATTACTACATATATTCCATCATTCTTTTCCAGAGGTTTACCTTTCACTGAGCTCTTGGGATCGGCTCCTCTTTTTTTCTCTCCCTCATCCCCCCACCCCCGAAACCCTCGTGTACCCTTGGTAGACTGTAGGTTGTTAATTATTTTCAAATCTCACACCAACCGCTGTCTCCTTTCCCCTATGGTTTCTGTTGTTCTTGCCCCTGGATGGGTGTGTGTGGTTATGTGCCATTCATTGTGATCGGTGCCTCCCTCCCTCCCCAACTCTCTCCCCCTCCCCCTACCCTTTTGGTATCTCTGTTCCCCTTCCTGTTCCTGGATTCCATGTGTTATGAGTTGTATCTCTTGCCTGTACCTATGTCCATGCTCCCGTCTAGTTTAAATTGGGAAGCAGCACTGGGGTCATGAGAGTGGGGGATGAGGAGGCCTGCAGGGAACAGAGGTATATTGCGTGACCCATTAGTGCTCTACTGCACCCTGATTGACTCTCCCCCTCCCTGTGAGCCTTCTGTGGGGGGATGTTCCATTGGGCTATGGGAGACCCATGGGCTGTGGGTCTGCACTCCATCCTCCCTCTATTCGCACCAATACATTTTTGTTTGTTTGTTTACTATTTGTTGTGAATCTTCTGATGCCCGTTTCCCGGTCTTGATGATACCTCACAATCGCTCCAGCTGGTGTGCTTCTTCCACGTGGGGTGTTGCTTCACTGTTGGATGGTCCCTTGGTAACGTCGTCTTTAAGACCCCAGATACAATATCTTTTAATAGCCGGCACCATCCTCTGTCTTCACCACATCTGCTCATGCGCTCATTATGTCTTCAGCGATCGTGTAGGGGTGGGGGGGTGAGCATCACAGAATGCCAATCTCTTAGAACAAGACAAGGCTTTCTAATCTCATAAAGTGTTACAGTCTGAGATAGATAAGGTTTATTGTGCTAACCCCTGGCCAATAAACACATGTGGGAAAGCTTTGAAAAGATATGCCCACACAGTGCTTTGGAATATTCAGGAACCAGTGGTCTTTGTCAGAAGCTAGAAACAATCTGAAACCATGAACAAAACTCCCCTCTAGAACTGAACATTAAAGAGAGCCTGAGGACAGGCTGAAATGCTTACTAGGTGACCACCTGGATCCACTTGTTGAGTGGAAGTGGGAGAAATGCAGCAGTAAAGCGATGGGTTGAGTTTGGCCACTGACACCTCTGGACTTGGGTTACAGGAAAAAGAGGAGAAGATGAGAGCGGATTGAGTGGTCTAAGTCCATAACCTAGACCAAAGGGGTTAGGCTTGTTGAGTATTGGTGAGAGCCCATGGTCTAAAGGCAAGGCAACCAATGAGCATCCTGGGAAGGCTGAGTGAGGCAGCCCATATTGAGTTGACCAAAACAGATGAAGAGATTTTTGAGCCTGTGAACTGGTGCATATTGTTACTAACTTTATGGATGGTCTGTCCTGATTTGACTTTGCTTATGGATGCAGATTTCACAAGGTTCCAACTGGAATGAATATTCTTCACGTAGAAAAATATGATTGTCTCCTCAGAGGATTGGGTTGATGTAAGTGGGCAGTATAGAAATTGGATGCCCAAAATTGGGGGAATAGAGGCATGAAGTGGTTGGCTTACAAACTTTCATAGGTGGAGGGATTATATTCATAGGATTATAGGATTAAGGTGTAGGTGTTACTTAACTGCAATTGTTAGGTTAAATAATTGTGTATAGGTGCCAAGTTGCCAAAGGGTGGATTGAGATAGTTAAGGTTTATTGTGCCAACCTGGCCAATAAACACATGTGGGATTAATTGAAGGGTGGAGAGATAAATGGTTCGGTGAACCTCACGTTTCTAGTTCTTGGGTCTCTTGCTCTCTGATGGTCAGACCAGGGTGCAACTGCCTTAGCCAGTTCTCTGCCTCACTGGCAAGGCTCACTTCTTGTGAGACATCCCTGATGAGAAGCCACAAGGACCTACCCTGATGCAGCCCTGGGTGCTGGAACAGCCACGTGGAGACCCCTGCCAGCACTGAGATGCTTACATGCTCACTGATTCAGCTTTCCTCCTGTAATCACCACCATTGCGTCTGTTTTGTGAGATTGTGGAGGACTTTATAGATTGGTGTTGGACATATGGGTTAATGTTGGACTTATGGGCTTGGACAGCACTGGGTTAGGATGCTTTCTGAATGTACACTTGCCCTATATATATATAAAACTCCCTCTTATACGTATATGAGTTTCTGTGGATTTGTTTCTCCTGTTTACCCAGACTAACCCACAGTCTCAGCTCAGAAACTCATAGGGGCAGTTCTACCTTGCCCTACAGGGTTGCTAGGCATCACATTGACTTGGCAGCAGTGAATGTAATTTCTTCATAGTTCATTCACATAGAGGAATGTGTTAGAACTCCATTTGCTTTTATGGCTGAATTGTATGTGTATGCTACAGTGTGTTTACCCGTTCATCTGTACCTGAGTACTTGGTTTGTTTCCACCTTTTCACTATTCTAATAATGCTGCAGTGAGCTTTGTTGTGTAAGTAACTATTTGAGTCTCAGCTTTGGGCTGAATACAAGACAGGGAAATTGCTGAGTCATATGGTAATCCTATGTTTCATTTTCCGAGGAACCACCGATCTGTTTTTCATGGAGGATGCACTATTTTGCATACCCAACAGCAATGGATGAGGATTCCTATGTCTTCACATAGTCACCAACACCCATTATCTGCTATTTTCTGACAATAGCCAGTCCACCTAAAATGACGTTTTGGTTTGTGTATCTCTATCAATTGATGACATTTATAATATTTCATGTGTTTGTTCAACTCACTATCGTTTATTTTTTAATTATCAAATAAAATGATGAGTCTACGATGGTACAAAGATGGTAACAGTTAGCATTGGTTGATCTAGTAATAGTATGAATGATGTAATATCAGGAATTCAAAAAATATACTATATGCACATTCATTCAAATGGCACTTTTAATCAAGAGCTACTGAGGGAACAGCAGATGTTATTAGTGTGTCTGAAAGAAGTTCAGTTCTGGATTTGAGATGGGCATTTTGCAGATGCTGTCCTCTTAATATAAACTTCTATATTACTATTTAAACTGGGGTGTCTAGAGAAGAAAAACCAATAACACAAATATCTGTATAAGAAAGAACTTTATATTGTGAACTAATTTTATATCAAGAAGGGATTCCAGCCCAGTGCAACTCCAATTCCTGGGTCCAAGGCTAGCCAGGGCCCTCTATGTAGACTCATGCAGCTGCCAGCTGGTGACATCGAATGGTGAAATGGGAAGCAGAGACACCAAAGGCCTATAAGTGCCAAGTCACATGGATCCAGGGTCAGAAACATGGCAGGATGCCCGCAGCTCCCGTAGGTTGGTGCACCACATGGGACTCCCCTGGAGACAGGCATAGAGTCTGAGTGAGGAAAGAAGCAAAGGAGGAGAGAGAGAGACAGACAGACAGACAGACAGACAGAGAGAGAGAGAGAAAGTTCCCAGTGCCTCTCTTATTAAAAAGTCACACACCCAAAGAGGTATCACCAGGCTACCATGATTGATGATTGACAGGTTGGATTCCACCTCTACACTTTCACACAGGTTCAAGTTGACAAAAAATATAACCACAAAATTATCATTTACTTTCCTGTAAAAAAATGTCTAAAAAAAGATGATTTCAAACTGATTACTCATTTTCTGAAATAAAAGTCCTTCTTGCTGTGGTGGATTCAGGAGTGTTCCTAAAAATGCCTGTCATTCTCCCTTAGAGTAGTGCCTGGAGCTACGTCAAGGAAAGCCAAAGCCACTTCCCCATGTCCCAGTTCATGGAGTCCGTTTGGATGGGTCAGGGGCTGGGTTCTTCACTCTTCTCACTTTGATCCCAACATTCAGAAGCAGTTGGCCTATGTAGAGCTAATGTTGTTCTTTAATGACTGCTTTCTGCAAAAGAAATTTAGCATCATCCACCACAGTGTCAAGAAAATGATTTTGCAAATAGAAAGTCTTTCTAAAGTAGAGACCAGTAGCAAGAAGTTCTCCACTGATAGAGCAGAATTTCTCAAACTTTTTCAATGGTTTGTCCCATAAGAGATCATCTTTCTCCACTGACAGCAAATGTGGAGACTTCAATTTTGCCTTGAGTTCTTCTACTGACAAGTGCAAGTCCTTGGCTATATGTTCCAGAGATGCATCATCCAACCCAAAATAAGACCTATAGAAAGTTAAGGTCGCCTCCAACTGCTGCACATCACTGTCACTGATGCATCCCATGACAGGAATCGTGGCAAGTGCTCCACACTGCAGGGCCTCCAGCCCGATCTTCTGCCTCAAATAATCCTTCCTCCGTTCAATGGCAGCATCCGTAACACAAGGAAGGCATTGCGTGAAGATGTGACGTTTATAAGCTGGAAGCTCCTCCAGAAGGGTGGTCTCCAGCTTTGGGAAATCGTAGTCAGACACTTCAAAACTGGAGATTAGAAAGACCCCAGCATCGTTCACACCAATGGCCCGCAGGTTACGCAAGCAGTCCTCTCGGATCATTTGTAGGGTTTTATCCTTACAGAAGTTCTTGGGTTGAGCTCTTCTTTGATTATATACATCATGGTCCACTTTAGTTCGAACAAGGTAGAAATTCTTCTTCATTTTTCTAATGACTGTGGCCAATTGTGAATCATTTAGTTTAAAACGTTGAGCACAAACAATAATAAAAAAGTCATACTCATTAAAGTTCATTTTCTTCAGATACTCCTGAGGCTGAAATGTGGTGGTCCCAATGCCAGGCAGGTCCCACAGTGTCACATGGGGGATCTTTGGATGACGATATGGCTTTCTCTCCATTGTTGTCTCCACGACCCCACAGGCAGCTGCATCAAGATCTTCATGCCCAACACCTCTGAGGGCATTAATGAAACTAGATTTTCCTGACCCAGACTCACCTGTCACAGCAATATGTATTGTGGCATTCTCAATCTCTTTCATTACATTACTGATCACAGAAACTGCCCCCTGCATATTTCCTGTCTCCAGATTTGATTTAATGAAATCGATAGTTTCAGGAGAGAACATTTGGCTTTCCATCTTGAAATCCTTAACAAATTCATCAACACTGGATGCCCAATTTTGATTCTTTGGATCAGCAGGTGTTTTGGAGGATGACTGGCCCATTGTTGTGAGTAGTATAGGTCACTAAAGAAAGGAGAGAAGTAAAAAGAGGTTAGGATATAAAGGGGTACCAAAATCTGTCTCAATGTATAGACAAAGCCATCTTCTCTGTTTGAAGACAGGTTTTGTCTGGAAGCGGATCAGATGTTAAGTTTACAAAGCTGAGGTAGGACTCCAGCCTTGGAATGCTCCCTTTGTTTATGAAACTCTCACTGGATTATAAACAAGATGATTGTGTGCTTATTTCAATCACACACACCCACACAAACCTGCAACCTAGGCAGAAGCCGATGGAAAAACGTCGTCATAACTCTGGAAACAATGAAAATGTTTACAAAAACTAAGCAAAGTATGTGAATGATAACAGCAGCAAAGTGCCATCACACCTTAGGAGAGCTTGGAATTTTCTGTGTGCAGCACCCCATCACCTCTTTGGCTTGGCATGGATCTCTGAAGCCTTGATATTCTACAACCCTGGAAAGCAAATCTAATTTCTGGCAATAGAAAAGGGACAACAGGAATTATTCAGAAATTATAGTATGTTTTTGTTCTGACCTGTTAGGAGATGCCTGAAGACCTGAAGGAAATATTCATCTGTCTGGCCTCACTCAGAGTTCATGGGCAGCTGAGGAACAAAGGACATGAAGGGAAGTCTATAACATCTGTAATCACCTAGAGCTAAAGGCTGCATATCACATCAGCACCGAAAGGAGAATCCAGAGAACACGATTCCTTCAGAAATTGAGGTTCTTGGAAACGGATGTCTGGAGCATGGATGTTTTTGCTGTTAGGTGCCATGGAACGTGTTCCAAGCCATAGCAACCCCATGTACAGTCAAACAGAACATGGCCCAGTCCTGCACCAGCCCGGCAACTGCTCCTATTCCAGCCCATTCTTTCAGCCACTGTGACAGTGCGTCTTGTCTAGGGTCTTCCTCCTGTGCTGCCCCTCCACTTCACTAAGCATAATACCCTTCTCCAGGGAATGGTCTCTCCTCACAACATGTCTAAAGCACATGAGACAAAGCTGCCCTTGGCTCCAAGGGGCACTCACTATGGCTGTCCATCCTTCAAGACAGATTGGTTTTGGGGTCAGGCAGTCTATGATACTTTCAATATTCTTTGCCAGCAGCAGAATTCAAAACCCTCCACTCTTTTTCTGTCCTCTTTCTTCAATGTCCAACTTTCACATCCATATGACGTGATTAAAAATGAGATGGCTATCACGTGAGGTGTCCATGGGATCAGGGATCAGGAATCAAAGAACGAAAAATCACATCACTGTGAATGAGGGGGAGTGCAGAGTGAGAACCCCAAACCCATCTGTAGGCAACTGGACATCCCCCTACAGAAGGATCTCTGGGAGGAGACAAGGCGGTCAGGGTGCAGTGTAGCAATGATGAAACATACAATTTCCCTCTAGTTCTTAAATGCTTCCTACCCGCTATTATCATGATCCCAATTCCACCTTATTAATCTGGCTACATCAGAGGATATACACTGATACAGATAGGAACTGGAAACACAGGGAATCCAGGACAAATGAACCCCTCAGGACTAGTGGCGAGAATGGCAATACCGAGAAGGTGAAGAGAAGGTGGGGTAGAAAGGGGAACCGATCACAAGGATCTACATATGACCCCCCTCCCTGGTGCACAGACACCTGAAAAGTGGGTGAAGGGAGACGCCGGACAGTGTAAGATATGACAAAATAATAATAATCTAGAGATTATCAAGGGTTTGTGAGGGAAGGGGATGAGAAGGGAGGAGAAAATGAGGAGCTGATTCCAAGGACTCAAATAGAAAGAAAAATATTTTGAGAATGATGATGGCAACAGATGTACAAATGTGCTTGACACAGGGGATTTATGTATGGATTGTGATAGGACTTGTTCAAGCCCACAATAAAATGATTTAAAAAAGGAAAAGGAAATACCATGGCTTGGGTCAGGCACACCTTAATCCTCAAAGTAACCTCCTTGCATTTCAACACTTCATAACAATCCGTACATCAATTGTATCAAGCATATTTGTACATATGTTG